TTTTTTTTTTTTTTTTTGGCTAGACCTTATAAGTGGAAGAAAAGAAGTGCAGCTGCCTGCAGCTTATTTCGAGCATCGCTGCGGAGCAGAGAACATGAGTGAAAATTTTTAATTATTTATATACATTGTCGTGATTAAAAAAGATCATAAATAGCATAGTTTGGCTGCAGAAACTCACCTAAGAGCATCGGCCAGGTTGCTGGTTTTTTCTCTTTTTATTTCTGCGGCTGTACCATCCCACAAACTTCTGTTGACATAACTCTACCTTTTACACTGGCCACAATGGTTTTCCTGTTGTGAATACAATGTATCCAAGACATAGTCCCAACAGCAGTCCACAACCAGAACCCATCAATGCAAATTTCCAATCAAATAATGCTGCAGATTCATCTTCTACTTCATCAAATTTGAAGAAGGTGATTCTGGTTCTTTGTCACCTTGCATTTCTTTGTCAATGGAATTCCACACAATCCTAAGTTTCCAATGTAGTAATCTTTAGAAAAATTATCAAACTACTTCCCTTGTAGAGTGTGAATCAAAAGTTCCTTGTATGAAAAGTTCAAAACTATAAAGAATGTAAGACTTGTCAACTGCTCAGGAATCCTACCATGCCATCAAAAGAGATCTACTGATTCAAGTTCTGCCTATTTCTCTAAAGATGATGGAATTTAACCTGTGACTGTGAGATTGTTGCAAGGGAAGTTAAGTACTAGAAGTGAACTGAGTTCAACCAGCTCTTCAGGAATCTGTCCATGGAATATACGGCTTGAGAGATCAATGATTGTGAAAACTGTTAAGATTCTTACAAGCTCCACCTCTATGTCTTTTATTGTCACCATCACAGAATTCTCATAATAAGTCTATCATTGAGGTTTTTCTTTTGACTTTTGGCAAAATGGCTTCCACCAAGGACCTTCTTCTATCTTTTGAAAGTCTAACAGATGAGATCAAATTTACTTAATCAGATACCAATATAATAGAAAATGAGAATGGGCAGATCTGCAAAATTATTCAATCTTGTCACAATCTAACATGAAATAGCTGCACATTATATTGCAAAGCCCAACAAACTTACTGACCTGAAAGCTATGATAACTACATCATCTTCAATGGTGACTGCACAGTAGTAACTAGTAACACTGACTTGACCGCCCAACATTAAAAGCATCTGATGAAATCAAATACCATAAAAACTTCAGAAAGTTTCCATTATTCATTGGAAGAGTGAGTGAAATCCATTGTTCAAAGAGAGGGCTCCAGCTTCTAAAGACATTCAAAATGACTGGGACAAAACAAACCTTCCACAATTGCACCACTACAAGTGCCTGAGCGTGTAAGAGCAAAATTTATGATCAAGTGAATCGGTTGTTACAGCAGATGTACCACTAAGTGACAAGGTGAGTTTTCCACTCTTTTCAGGGTGATCCTTCAAACATGTAAAAGGTGAAGCTGTAATGAAATCAATAAAACATTCAAATAAGATTCCAGAAGACTAAAAGGAGAATGCTAATCTCATATGCTAAATGGCATGTAAAATTCAAAATGCAACAGCTACCGTAACAATTAACTAATACACAAACAACACATGAACAGAAACAAGTAAGGCCTACCTAAAATACTTTCCCTATTTCTATTACAATTTAACCATATCTCGATAACATTAAGGACTTCTAATGGTTACTACAGGTCCATACTATACAAGCAATGATAGGAAATGTAGCTAGCCAAAAAATGAGAAACACCGCAAATATAACTTACAGAATTACAATAAATTGAGGTTGTTAAATAACGTCATTATGATATTTGTGAAGTACAAAGAGAAACAAAGACTAGCTATAGGAATTTAATCTTCATAATAAGCAACACAATAAGCAACACAATAAAAAATAATTATCCATATGCTTCTCAGTTCTCACACTTCTTTCTCGTTCATCTTAAAATTCAAATTCGATAGTTACAACATGAAAATTTAATCAAGTTTCTAACTAATGTAACATCCTATAACATTATGATAGGTTGCCTTGTTAATTTAAGGCACAAATCCAACGATTGGGGATGCCATGTGATTGACCGAAGACATTATAAGAAAGTTGGGCTGTCGGCTCGTTTCAGTTGGTGTAAAAGCATTCACCACTACTAGTGTCGCCAATGGTAGCATGGATTATATCATGTCATTTGTGGTGAATCCTCAGACTTACTAGGCAAGTGTTATGTTACCAAATGAAACACACAACTAGGTGGAACCCGCTCAGAGTTGTGCGATTCGTGCCGTCAAACTTTATAATCAAAGTATAGTAAGAAAATTAATTTCAATCTGGTGGAACCTGCTTATATATCCTGTCTCCTATCTAAACATAACTGAAAGATTTAAGCATACCTCAAGAATTCCTTTCCAAGAAACATCCGTGCACGACTAGCTGGATGGAGGCAATAGTCACTCTGTTGGTTAATAGTAAGATGAACTTGAATGGGCAATCTCTACTGATTAACATCTCCATGAACAAGCAGTTTGCATCAGTATATTCCGGAAACAGTAAGCAAAATCCATTGTTCAGAAAAGAGGCTCCAGCTTTTAAAAATATATTCAAAATTAATTACGAGACTAAAGTCACTAAACAAACCTTTCACAGTTGCACCACAAGAAGTGACTTGAGTGTCTAAGAGCAATATACAACCAAGTGTATCGGTTGTTGCAGCCAACAACTCCATCCTCAGAGAAAATTAAAATGTGCCACTGGGGGATAAGGTGAGTTTTTCACCCTTTCCACCATGCTCCTTCAAACATGTCGAAGGTGAAGCTGCAATGACATCAATGACATTCAAGAGGCTTTACAAATAAACAAATGTAAGAGTTCAGACGAGTAGAAGGAGAATCACTAATCTGATATGCTAATGGCATATAAAATTCAAAACGCAACAGCGGCTATAATGAATACAAAACAATGCAAAACAGGACCTTGGACGCAGGAATACAACAGAAATACCTAAGACTTGCCTAAACTGCTTTCCCTATCTCTGTTACACTTTAACCATATCTTATAATACTGAGGACTCTCTATTAGTTAATACAAGCCCATAATTACAAAAGCAATGGTGAGTACACATAACAAAATCTGAAAGAAAAAACAAGAAACTATAGCAGGAAATGTAGCGAGTTGAAAAAAGAGAGAAACACCACAAATAGAACTTACAGTAAATTGAAGTTTTTAAACAAAGTGATTATGATGTTACTGAAGTACAAAGAGAAACAAGATCAGACCTATATAATCTTAACATCTTCTACCATCGTCTCAGTTTTCTTAATGAAACAATTTAGATTCTTTGATAAATGAATTACCTTTCAACTTCCAACAATCTGTAGTTATGCAATAATAAGCTTAACATCGTAATAGAACCAATTAGGAAAGAAATCAAATGCAAAATTGTTGAGGCTATTCTCCTGACTTTCGTTCGTAGTTGGCCCACTCTGCCATATCATGTAATAGTTGAAAACAAGGAATGGTTGAAAACACTGCAGACTGTGGTATAACTCTTGACAAAAAGGCCCCCACTAACGACCTGCTTCTACCTACTGAAAGTCTAACAGGATGAGATAAATTTAGTCAAGAAGATAACAAAATAAAGACAAAGATAATAGACACACCTACAAAAGTATCAATTCGTGCCGTGATTTATTATGCAATAAGCTGCAAATTATATTATTGCAAAACACAATGAAAAGCTAAGATCACAACAACATCTCCTATATTGACTGCACAGCAGTAAGTTTGACTTGACTGTCCAAGAGTGAAAGCAGCTGAATTCAAATACGAGAATAACTTCACAAAGTTTCTATTATTCAATGGAAAAAGAAAAAGCAGCATAACTAAAAATGAACCACAGAAACAATTCTTTTAAATGCTTGGACTATGTTTTTTAGACTTTGTTTATCTTAGCAGCTGATCTCAGAAATAAGAAATGTTTCATGAAGATTTCACGAAGATAATACTGAAATAATGACAAAATGTAAAGACATTTACATTTTAAGATGCCTCTCTTTGTTCAACAGAAGTTTAGGATGCCTGCAGGATATATACCATTGTCATCTGTCAGCAAAAATATCTAGTTGAGTAGTTAAGCAAAAATCATCAATTTTTTAAACACTTCTAGGTTAACATCTAAAGAAATTTAAAAAAAAAAAAATCATATTTTCACTTTTACCTGTGTATTAAAATCTGGTGTCGGATCTTGAAGTAAGGTCGGACCAGGTCAGCCAACAAAGAATAAACCAACAGATAAACTTTGCACATACTGACTTTAAGAATAAATATGGTTCCTATGCTTAAACTATTTTGGAAATCATGTACCCAACAATTACTCAAAACCTCTTATAGACCATTTGAAGAACTTCTATAGAATCCATTTGCAAGTGGCAGGGTAATTATATAAGGAATCACCTGGAGTTCTGCTAATGGAGCAGTGATTATGCCAGTGATTACAGCATCAGCATACAACCCATGCATTTTAACATCCATAACTGATATGGCAATCTCCAATAAGAATTTTCCAAATCATCTGAGCCTTTCCTCTTGGATGTCCAGTCCCAAAACTGAGAATGTGTTCCTTATAACCATCACTGAACTCTGACGTATACTCTACAACACCGGACCCAGAGGGATGGATTATTTGATTGATGCGGCTTTCTTTATCTTAGCTTTTGTCCAGAAACAAGAAATGATCCATGAAGATCACACTATAATAATAACAATATGTAAAGATATTTGTCATGTTTCAACAACAACTCTTAGGCTCTAGAAGCAAAATAAAACGAGCACTTACACCAGCCATAACAACAGAAGCCTCGTCTGAAGATGTGTCTAGGGTCATATATCTGTTTAACAGACACTTAATTTTAGGATACACCTTATATCTGTAAGCAAAGTATCCATTGATGAGTTTACCACTAGAACAACAACTTCAACTCTAATTTATCTAAGAAAAAAAAAAGAGATGAAACTGACTGATGTCTACATCGGATGATTGACCATCCATACAGTACAAGCAAACGAATGAGAAATTTATGATCCACTGTTACCTCCCTTCAATATATCCAACTCAGAACTTACATATGTTAATGCTAAAGCTAATTTCTTGATATTTTTTAACAAATACCAACAGAAATTTACTCCTAATTTCTTGTTTATTCTGTAACTAATGCCCTCAAAACAATCTCTTGATTTCTAGAACAATAAAATCCCACAAAACCATTCATGCACATTTAAAACCATTAATTTATTCCACACAGAAAATTACCACAGCTTCCTCCGTTAATACAAGAGGTTACTATATCAAGAAAACAGAATGTAAAACACAAAAAGAAAATTACCTGTCTAGAGTTGGCAATGGCTAGAGAATGGGCCTCCAGAAAGCAGAGGATGCCTAGGCCATCCATCAACTGGCACTCCTAATCCTCTTCGAAATCGTTCAGCTGCGTCCGCTTTGAGAGTGATTCGAAATTTCAACTGATCGGAAAATAAGGAAGCGATTGGGGTCCACACCACATTTTAAGAAATTTTCATTTTTATTCAGTAAAACGTACTGTTCAAAGGCAACCAAACCAAAAGAAGAGGATAAAATATGATATGAAGAGATTGATCGGCAAAAATCACATAAGGATCAAATTACAGTAACAAAATACACGAGAACTGCATGCAGAGCAGATAGATCAGATCCAAAAGAAATCAACACAAATTCGTACATAACCATAATTCCCACACAAGTCAATACAACTACCTATCAACAATGAACATGAAAAAAATGGAAACAAACTCAAGAAGGAACTGTTGCCAAATCTTCCGGAGTAAGAAATCAACTGCACCTGCTTGCACCTATATTAAATAAAGCAAAAGTAGAAAAATTAAGTGTCACTATTATATAACATGCCTTGATTTTTGTGGTTAGAACTTATATACAACACAAATATTATAGTGAGAGTCGTAGAAACTTACTTAAGAGCGTTGGTTGGGTTTTTGGACTTTTCTCTGCTTATGACTTTTGTTGCACCTTCCAACTAATTTCTGTTGATATTTCTCCACTTTCTTCACTACCCGCCATGGTTTTCCTGTAGTGAAGGCAATGTATCCCAGACTAAGTCCCAACACCAGTCCACACCCATAGCCTGCCAATGCAAACTTCCACTCAAAGACTGCTGTAGAGTCATCTTCTTCATCAAATTGTGATGAAGGTGGTCTTGGTTCTGCGCATTTATTTGTCAATGGGAATCCACACAACCCGGAGTTCCCAACGTAGGAGTCATTTGAGAAAGTATTGAACTGCTTCCCTTCAGGTATGTAGCCCACAAGTTCATTGTGTGAAAGATTCAAAACTGATAGGAATGTCAGCTTTGTCAATTGCTCTGGAATCCTGCCTTCAAGCTTGTTTGAGGAGAGATCTAATGACTCGAGTTCTGCTAATTTCCCCAATGATGACGAAATTTGACCATTGAGACTATTGTGAGATAAGTTTAGCAATAAAAGTGAATTGAGTTCTCCTAGCTCATCAGGAATTGGTCCATGAAAGTGATTGCTTGAGAAATCTATAGTTGTGAAAATTTTCAAGATCCTTACAAGCTCCCTCTCTGACCCTTTCATTACTACCTTCACAGAATCCTTATAAATAACATCAAAAGTTTGGCAAACTCCATTTCTGAAACATTGCACATAGTTACCAATGTATTCCAATTTGACTTTATCAACTGGAGCTACATCTCTCATACCTTTCAAAATTTTGAAATAGTTACTCGGTAGGAGACCCATAAAATCATTCTGTGCGACATCAATGATTCTTAATTGAGGGAAGTAAAATGCAGGCATAGAATTGCTGATGGCACCATGAAATCGATTAGATCGAAGGATGAGAACTTTTAGCAATGGAAGAACACCTAACCAATGTGGAAAGGTATCATTCAAGTTGTTGTTCCCAACATCTAGAATTTCCAACTTACTGCAATTAACCAAAGACTGTGGCAGTGTCCCTTCCAACTGGTTGCCATTTAGGCTGAGAGTTAACAAGGAACTGATGTTGACAAATAAATTTGGAATCCTACCGTGGAAATTATTCATCTGCAGATCTAAGATGTGGAGATCACTCAAGTTTCCAAGACATTCTGGAATTTTTCCTCCCAAACCATTATTAGCTAAGACTAGAACTCTAAGAGAAGTAAAATTACAATAAGAAGAAGGGATTTCGCCAGTCAAATTATTCCCTGAAATGAGAAGTTGTTGCATAGAATCCCAAGTTGTTGATAGAATGGGAAGCGATCCTTGTATTAAGTTGGATCTGAGGTCAATAGTTACAAGATTTCCAAAACCAAATGAATCTATACCAGTCAAGAAGTTAGAAGAAAGGTTTAATGTATCCAATGACATCCCTTCTATTTCCCATTTGTGAATTTGACCAGAAATGTTGTTCTTGGAAATATCTAATATTTGCAAACTCTCTGCCTTCCTTAAGAAACTTGGGAACTTGTGTATGTTGCAAGAAGAGAATTGTAAAGACTTGAGGTTTGGAAAGGAATAGTTGACAGCAGTGCCATTATTGCTCAAAGACAGCAAACTATTATTGGAAAGATCAAGATCCTCAAGGCCTACAAGCTTCGAAAGCATGTCAGGTGTAATGGTGCCAGTTAAGTTATTTGAAGAAAGGTCGACTCTAGTAAGATTTACAAGATCAAAGAAGGAGCTAGGCATTGAACCACTTATCTCATTATTGGACAAATAGACTTGTTGTAAAAAGAGATTGGGCATCTCAACATGATCAATAGGTCCAGTAAGGCAATTGTTTTGGAGTTCTAAACAGGACAAAGAAGGCAGAGAAAACAACCAAGATGGTACACGACCTAATAGCTTATTTGATGATAGTAACAAAAAAGTAAGATTTGTGAGGTTGAAGATTGATGCAGGAATTTCACCACCAAAATTGTTTGCATCTAAGCTCAAATAAGTTAGCTTGTGCATTTTTCCAAAAACATCTGGTATTTGCCCTCGCAAATGGTTGGAAGAAAAATCTAGTTGAGTTATCTCTGTAAGATTTGCAAGAGATCTAGGAATTGATCCATAAAATTGGCAGTGATTGAGGTCTAATTCCTTTAGGACTTTAAGATTTCCAATTGAATGAAGTAACTCCCCTGAGAAGTTTGTGTCTGCAAGATTCAAATACTCAAAGGTACTACTCAGGTTTGACTCGGGCAAATTACCTCCTAAATGAGAGTTGTAGCTTAAATCAAGAACCTGGAGAGATGGAAGCTGAAACACTTGGTTTGGAAAGTTTCCTTGCAAATTACAATCCCTAACGCTCAAATGCTCCAAGGAAGAAGTCAAGTTTAGCAAGGAAGAAGGCACAACCAGAGACATATTCACAGAATCAAGGATAAGAAACCTTAATTCTATTAAGTTATGCACAAGCATTTGAAATTTTATGTTGTCAAGAAGCAAATCATAAGTACCAGAGAGATCGAGTGAAACCAATTTCGGTAGCAAGAAGATCTCATCAAACAGGAGAGAGCCAGACATGTCTCCTGAATCTGCAAAATTAAAGATTTGTCACATTAGAAGAAGTGAAACCAGTTTTGGAAGCATGGAGATTTTAAACAAAAGAAAAAGAAATGAAATCTTGAAATCTCGTACCTGAAAGATTAAGATATTTCAAACTCTTCCAACGGTTGAACCCAAATGAGATGTTAGGGTAAAGAAAATAATTGTGAGAAAGGTTGAGACTCTGCAATTTCTCAAGGCGGAAGAGACTACTATTTGTAGTTAGATTGGCTTCAAGACAATTACTGCTAAGATCAAGGCCAATCACGTGACCATTCCGCTTGTCGCATGCGATGCCTTCCCACGAGCAGCAGTCTTTACTCTCGTTCCAAGATTGTATTATAGGAGTACATAAAGAGAAATCAATTATATCCGTAGTGCTTTTGAAATCAAGCAATGCAGAACGCTCTTCAGGACGGCACAAATGTGGTGATGAATTGGGAGAAGATTGAGAAGGTGAGGAGCTTTGGACTCGAAACCGTAACAACATGAAGGAAAGGCAGAGGATTTGGGAAAACCTTATTAAACTTGCCATTTTCTTAAAGATGAACACAATTCACCAAACAAAGGAGTGATTGATTATTCCAAATTGTAGGGCTAGACACCAGTATTTATCGTCTTCCCAAAAGTGAAAGTCCTTCCAACCTTTTAATTTTTGAGTTACATGTAAATTTCTTTTGCAGATCAAAATTTTTCTTTATCTTTTTATTAAAAAAAATAATATTCACACAATTAGACTTTTTTTTATATAGTTTAATAAAACTGCACTAGTACTTTGAAGCGACCTTTCAATCCCCAAACACTTTGGCCTGTTTGGTATAGCGGTTAAAATTCAGCGGTTGACAGGTAATGAGTAGTGGGTAATGAATAGCGAATAACTGTAACGGATAGTGGGTGGCAGTTAGCGGATAGTGGATAGCGGATAACGGAAAGTGGGTAGTGGATTGTAAATAGCGGATTCGATAAATATAATTGTTTGGTTATACAATAATTAGCGGTTGTTGTTTAACATCAAATGACTAATAAGGACATGTTTAAAAACAAATAAGTATATTTTTTAAAATATTTTTATTTTTTATTATTAAAATTATTAATTTTATAGAAAAAATAATAATAA